ACGCACGCCTTCCCCGGGAGCGCGCCCTTTTGGCCCCCGGCCGGGCTGGACTGGCCCGGGCGAGGAGTCGGCCGAGGAGCGGGTCAGTTAGGTAACAACTACCCCTGGGGCTCGGCGCTGGAGAGAGGGCGCAGGGTTTGAGAAATGGGGTTTTCCTTCACGGAGCTGAGTCGGGTGCGCTCAGCTCTTGCTGGGAAGATAACGTCTCTTCTCTAGGAAGGTGTGGGCGAGGTCCTGGTAGGGGTGCCGGATTAGCCAGCCACGGTCCTCTGCCTGTGGCCCGGGTACGGAGAACACTTATCTGTCCCCGGTAGCGGTGCTGGATTCCCCGGTACCACTCCACTGGGCTCCGTTTCAAACTGCTTTGCTCCTAGTGGTCACTTATGCTCCGTGTTGCAAAGGCTAATCTGCCCTTATTCCATTAGGGCCACTACAGGATTTCTATGAAAAGGAAAGTGAAACTCGAGTTAAATGAACTATAGTTTTAACCTTGGAGAACTTATAGAAGAGAGAAATGGCACAACATTGTGTTTATATGCACATTGGACACTTGCATGTATATCTGCCCTATTTTATTTGAAACACCCATTAGGAAAGAATGATGAGAAAAAAATGTGATAGTTCTTTCCTCTAGTTTTCAAATTATATGACTGAATTATATGATTTACTTTGCTAAGCTTGGTAAACCAGGACACTTAAAAGATGAAATGTGAACCAGAAATCCTTGTGCGAAATAAATTTTAGTTTTTACTTAAGCAACATGATGGTTTGGAATACAGTGGTAAAACATTGTTCTCATGTTTTTGTTTTGTGCTGTGATTTTTTTTCTTTTTCTTAAATATTACAAGTATCTTGGAGAGTCTTGTTTTACTTGTTTTGTCCATTTCTTCCCAATTAGAATAATTTAGATGGATTATTATTTAAAGTAGAACCAAGTTTCACTAACGAGTGGTCTCTTAAATGGAAATTTAAAGTAGAAATATACACTATTGCCAGATTATGGTATTATCAGATATGATTTACATGTCCCAGAAACTTCCTCTGTGTTCTCTTAGTTCAATCATAGTGTTTTGAGTATCTTTAATAGTGATTTTAGAGTGGTTTCATTCATAGTTTTTTCTTAACTAAATTTTTTTAACTAAATCTTTAACTTTCAAAATTTTTTCAAGTAGCAACATGATTTAATTGAAACGGGAAATGTAGATGGATGTTGTTTGGTCTAACTTTTAAAAATAAAGTTCTTTTGGTTTATAATTCCTCTAGCCATTATACATAAGGAATGTAAAATTGCTTCAACGTTAATTTCCTGGTATGCTTTAATTAGGAAAGTGAGTTACTTTAAAATTTTCTAATCTAGTAGGGCATACTTAACTGCTCCATTAGAATTCCCATCTGTTTAACGTTTATTCCTATCCCTTTTCAAGTCATACTTGTATGTTTATCCCCTTTCTAATATGAAACTTTTTTCCCCCAAAAAAATCCCTTCATGAGGATTCATTCAGGTTGATATGCCTTTATACCAATGGTTTACAGCTGTACAGTAAAATAAATTGTGTATTCCACACTTACATTTTTAGTCTTTAAGTTTCATTTTCCTTATATTTTTAGTGGTCCTTATAGGCCGTATTCCATTTTTGCCTTTTTCTATTCTTGGGTGAAGAAGAGACAGAAATTATAATCTTGAGGTTACAAGTAATGAAACTTTTATTTGGAAATTTCATGAGTATATTACATATTCTTATCAGCACTTACAAACAATGGACCAATTAAAGAACCTAGTGGCTTTAAATGGAAGAGAACAGCATATTGTTGATTTCTTTCTAAAACTGTGGGAAGGATCTTTGGTTGTCTAAGGACTACAAAAAGATTTTTTGCAAGGTGGGACAGTGTCCGAGTCCATGACAACATGAGTGTTTTGTTTTTACTTGTATCCTCTCGAAAGGGTTTAGGACAATTTGGACCAAAGGAGGAGCATTTAAAATATATATCCATTTCTGTAATCATTCCTTATGATACATAATAAGGAGCTAGGACAACAAGTAAGTGTGGGTGTTCCATTTTCATCCCGTGTTCTTGGTACAAATAAAAAAGACACTTAAATGTTAATAATCTTCTGTCATTTTCAAAATGGCTTAAAGCAAAATTATTACTGGATTGTATTTATGTTTTGCTAATCCGGCTAGGGAAAGGTGCATTTGGACTGGCCTGAGCCATTGAAGTGCTTGAAAAGCATTTGGAATTTTTTGTAAAGGAGGCAGGATATTTTTTTTTCACTTACCTGTGTGATAGCCATTGGTCAATATCCAAATAACTAGATCATTAAAAGATGCTTTTCTATTCCATTCTTCCTTTCTCTTGCTCCTATGTAGAAAATGTAACAAACTACAGCAGAGAATTGTTTTAACATTTCTGAACATTTTACCTATTAGCAGATTAAAATAAAACGCCAATTGAGCTGTAGTTGAAAAAAATATATAGTGCACAAAAGTAATCTCTAAGCAATTTACACTTTAAACCACATCAAATATTAGTTGGGAACTATGCTGTCCAGTGTGGGTTGCTTCTCAAAAGGTAATTTGTAAACTAGTTATCTAAAACTTTGCACTTTATCATTCATTTAATAAATATGGTAGACCTATTAAGTATTCTAGAAGACAAGAGATGTCTCTTACAATCCAAATGGGTGAAAGTTGATTTTAGAGAATTTATGAAAGGCTGTATAATTTATGGTGATTAGGCACCCAAGACAACTTTTTTAAAAAAGATTTTGCTTCCTTGTCAGTGGCAGAATAACAAATCTTAAAAGCTTTGGCTTTTTGAAGGAAAAGAGTTGAGGAAATATGAGAATCCTCTTATGGCGGAGTTAGTCCTGCCTGGGACTTGGGCTACCCAGTGTCTGCCTCTTAGCTGTTACTATTTGTCATAGTTGCTTCCCTTTCACTGCTTCTAAATGGACACTTAAATATTGTCACAGTGCGCAGCCTGAGCCTTGTGAGGAGTGAAGTACTGCTGTAGTTTGTATGTCAGAGACTATTTATGCATTCTTATGATGTAATTTTTCCAGTAAGTTTTATTTTGAGTTATAGGAAAAATTTAGGCAACAGAAATAAAATCCTATATTTAAATCATAAATATACTTCATAGGAAAATTAATTTAGGTCAGTAATATTGCAAAACATTAAATAGCAGAAGCTGATGTCTTCTTCGTCAGATGATGAAATCTCTTTTTGAAGTGTCAGGGAAAGATACAAGTTGCCAGGAACTCTGTGTCAGGAGGTTTAAGGGAAGAGGCAATGTAATGATTATTGATGGCTTTACAATTTCTCCCCTTCTCTAAAATAATATCCAAAAATCCTTAAGCCTGTTCTTTACATTGTTATTGCTTTAAAGCCAAATAGCAATGTATTATTTTCTGGAGAAATAGAAGTATTTCCAGGGCTTGAGAAGTCTTAAATAATATTGAAAAGAAGAAAGATTTTCGTTTTATTTTTTGCTGTTTCTAACATATTGGCTTTGAAGAGGCAGAAAGTCTTAGCCAGGGTAAGGCTGAGTGGATCCTCTTTAGAGTGCCCTTAGATATGTAGATAACATAACTTACTCTGTGACCTTGGTTATGTTATCCCATGTGCTCTTTTATGCACATGATGTTGTTAAAATGTTGACTTGTGATTATTTCTTAGCAGTTAAAAATAAAATTATAACTGAAAAAGTGGGGTAGTAGTAATTGCCTTTGGTCATGTGATCCCATTGTGAGAGGAAAGCTCTTGGTAAGATCTGTTCAGCCTTATGGGAAATCTAGAGAAGCTCAGGAGAAAATTAGACTGCTCTCACAGAAAGATTTTGTACAACAAATATTTCTCATACTTTAAATGTCATACTTGGGACGAGGATATTTAGCCTTGGGATTCCAATTTTTAAAGGCTTCTCTTTTCATGAAGTAAATTAATCACATAACTGAAATTAAGTTTTACCAAAAGAGCTACATTTTCTTGTGTGCCCATGTTCTTTACCACTCATTTATTTATGTACTGGCAGTGCTCTGTTAGCTGCAGGAAGGCCATGCCAGTTTAGGAAACATTTCTAGGGTTAAGGTTTGCTGAAGATAGTATGAAAAATCTTGTAAATAATTTTAAATTTATTGTAGAACCATTTTCTACAGTGATAGAAACCAAAGCAGTGGTTAAAAAAAAATCATGATTTAAGAGCTCCCTTTTTATAGTGCTCTGTAATTTTGAATACTATGAAACTTTTTGTTAGTATTACCTAACATATTTGAGCTCTTAATTTCCTTATTCATTCCTTCCAAGGCCTTCCCCATCACTGTAAATGGCATCTTTATTCACCCAGGTGCTCAAGCCAAAAATCTAGGAGACAAACTTAATTCTTCCCCCTCCTTATTCTCCAGATCTCATCACCCTAATTCTCTTTTACCTCCAAAGATATTGAGCCAGTTGTCTCACCTAACCTAGTCTTTGGCTGTAGCCTCCTACCATATGTTCCTGCATCCACTCTGGTCACCCTGTAATCCATTCTCTACTTTACCACCATGCTGATCCTTTTAAATGTGAATCAGATCATAGTCCCTCCAGCTTAAAACATACTAATGGCTTCCCACTGCACTCGATATAAAATTCAAGCTCCTTGTTGTAACCTGTAAGCCTTACATGATCTTGTCTCTGCATTTCTCTCTGACTTGTACCATGTACCTCCTCCTCCCCATTCTCTAAGCACTCACCACTCTGACCTTTATTCTGTTCTATCCCTTACGTCATCTCCTATCTCTTCGTTGTTTAGGTCTTGCTCATTTGTGTATTCTCTGATCTTTCAGCTCTCATTAGTTCCATGAAAATAGAAACCACTTCAGTCTATTTACTTCCAAGTCCTCAGAATCTGAAACAGTGCCTGATACATAGTGGGTACAGAGTGTATATTTGTGAATGAATGAACTATTTATAAAATAATAATTTATTGATTTCAGTTTCTACTATATCTTCTCAATTTCTGGTTAAGGTTCCAAGGGGTTCAGAGCGAACAGTTTAGCAGAAAGTAAAATGAAGAGAAATAGAAAACTTAGCAAAACTAAAATTACTATAAAACATCTGTTGGCTGTATTTTTAGAATAGTATTTACTAAGCTCCATTTAAAGTTTTCCCTTAAAACAATGTTATACACCAATATAAATATCTGAACATACTATTATTGTTTTGTAAAACTATTGGGTGTTAGTAGATGATTAATAGTAAATTATGTTTCATGGTTAATTGCTGGAGAGTTTGCCTAGACAACTTAGATGCTTTAGCTAAATTCTAAAACAGTTCCCTTAAGTTTCTTCAAAGAAGATTTTAGAAATCATACTTTATTTCTAATTTAGCAGCCTAGACAATTTTGTGTTTTTAATAGCATTTATTTTCAGAGGTGGTATTCTGAATATTTATGCACAGGTTTCAAGTACCATTATTGAAGAACATAGCTAAAGTAAAGCTTCAAAATTATAAACACATTTAATTATTGTCCAGAACTGGAACTGTATTCATTCAGGTTTTCAGTGTCGCTATGTATTAGGTGGCAGTATCTTTATAATTAGTTTCTTAAATAGTTGAAATTGTAATCATTTATTACTGGGGTATCATTTAGATATAGATTTATGTCTATATATTTGCATTGTAGTGAATTGCCTGATTTAATTGCTCTGGATTTTGTATTAGTTATTTTATATATCTACTTCTTAAATCTTCTTAAACTTACAATGGTATCAGTCCCTGGGTTCTAACCAAAAAGACATAAGCATATATTACTAAATTTTGATGAGGCTCTGGTACAACAGAAAGTTCTAATCTGTTGCCTGACTTAGCAGTGAGACCACGTATTAATATTAAGATTCACCCCCAGCATTGCTTGTAGGCAACATGAGGGTGCTATTTTTATAGAGTTGCAAAGTTGCTTCTATTAGAGAGGCAACTAAATTATTTTGAATATTTGCGAGCGTTTGCTCTCTCTACAGGGTATATTCATCTTAGAATCTTTGTGCTTTAAGTTAAAACCAAGTTTTACTAGGATTAAAATTATGCAGCCAAACAAGGAAAATGTTGGTTTTCCCAAACTTCAGATCAGCGCTAAACAGGAAAAATGGTTTATGTTTGCAGTGGTCATCCATGAAACTTGATCTGCAAAGATGTATTGCACCGTTACCCTTATTCACCACCCAGTACTTTTAAGCTTAAGGGCATTATTATTCCTACTCTTTCAGTTGGGCAAATACACATTATTCTTCAAGTTACTTTTTTAACCACATTAAGATATAATAAAATTCAAATTTTAATGAACACTTTTTCTTAAAACAAAAGCATAAATTTTGAACAGTAACTCTTACCCAAATTCATGGAAATATGTGATAATACCTCTTCATATTTTTAAATATATAAGGATTTGATGTTGCATTGTATTTATTTACCAACTCAGAGGTCATTTGAGCAAAAGAAAGATTACAAAACAAGATTTTTTTTTAAATTTTTTGCTGCTGCTGCTTATGCATTCATTCAGGTTTTCAGTGTCACTATGAAGACTGGAAGACATCATTCTCACTACCTCATTATACAGACGAAGAAGTAGAGCCATGGGAAATCACTACTATTGACTTAACAAACATACCACATTTAGATAGTAACAGTACCAAATTCTTCTTTCAGTTCATTCTTTTATATTGTGTGTGTGCCCACCAGGCAGCTAGTTGCATCTCTTTTTCCCCAATGAAGACTCTTCCCCCAGATCAAGTGAGATATCTGTCTTTGTACTTTTGTTCCAGGTATATGGCTTAGAAGCCTTGCACTTCTTAAGTTCAGTCTGCTCTTTTCTAAAATTTAATGCTCTCCTGTGGTTTTGAGTTTAAGATACTGAACTCTTTAAAGTATCTTAATAAATATACTTATTTTTTATTTTTCATAGCCAAGAAAAGAAGCTAATCAATTGCAAATAAGTATAGTTTCTCTGGCTTTCAATAATTTCCAACCCTTTCTGTTGTGATTCATAGCCTATTCTTGTGTTTTCTAACTCAAATATCTCTTTTTTATATAGGTTACTCACTATAAACAATACCCACCCAACACAAGCAAAGTTTATTCTTACTTTGAATGCCGTGAAAAGAAGACAGAAAACTCCAAAATAAAGAAGGTGAAATATGAGGAAACGGTATTTTATGGGCTGCAGTACATTCTTAATAAGTACTTAAAAGGTATTATTTGTCCCGGATATTTAAAACACTGCTTTTAAATTGTTATATTCTGTTATTTGAAGGAACTTTCTGAATGGTTTAATTTTGATATTTAATTACTTTAATGACTTTAGAAGTTCTTTTGGAATTTTTTAAAAATCTCCTAATTCAAATGCATTAAATCTTATAATTTGAAGTATGTGCTTGCTGTTCTAAATATGAGAAAAAAATTCTAAAACTAATAAGTTCGAGAATAAGTTTAGAAAAGTCACTAATATTTGTGGCTAATATGGTTTGTTAATAGACTTCAGTCATTTAATTCAAAATAAAGAATTTGTTATTAACCTGGGAACTCGTTTTGAATTATGGTAGCAATTATAATTAAAATATTTTATGCTAGTCAGTTTTACCTTAAGGCCTTTTTTCAAAACTATCTATAACTATGAACTTAGTCTCAAATGCGTGGTAAAGCATATTAAAGCAGAAAATTCCCCAGAGTAAGTTTCTTTGCTTTCTTAATTGAAAGCAAATTAGAGAACAGAGTTCTCTATATTGGGGGAAATTTTATCTCTAACCTTTTCAAATAAGAATCATCAGAATTTAATACAGCTAATCACCATAATCTTGGCAGTTTTACGATCAGATAGTTTGGATATGTTATACTATTGAAAACCTACTTGGATATCAAAAGTACTTCTTTGAAGCAAGACTACCCAAGATATTTTGAATGAGTTTCCTAGTCACACTTAAGTCCTACAGATAAAAGACTTCATATTAGTTATTATTAATTTTAGCTAAAATATGTTGACTGCCTGTTATAAGCCAGCATTAATTTAAGTGCTTCATATGTCTTAACTCATTTAGTCCTCACAACCATTCTATAAGCAGGTACTCTACTATTGTTATCCTCATTTTACAGATGAAGAAAGTTTACTAAAAGTATATTTGGGGGACAAAATGTAGTCATTGTGGAAATTATTGGATTTTCAGCCCTAAGGCATCCTTTATAAATAGAGTGAGTGAGAAGATTCACCTGGAAAATCATCTGTATCAAAGGCTTACTCTCTCAAATTTGAAAAGTATAGAAATTAATAGCGATAGAAAAAATGTCTTCTTAGAAATTAATTTATTATTGTGATTTTTTAAAAAAATATACATGTAATAATTTCTACACATTTACTTTTCAAATAAGAAATTAACATGCTTAGAGTGATGATTAAAAGTGCAAATTTCTTTTCTGGCTCTGCTTTTGATTCTGAGTGAGTTATTTACCTCTCACTTCTTATTTTTTATCCAGAGATTGGGTGAAATAGCTAGAGATATTAATCCTGTAACAACTCAGCAATTCACAGAATGCTTTTTGAAATGTAAACAGATGTTTATCCTTTTAGGTAAAGTAGTGACCAAAGAGAAGATCCAGGAAGCCAAAGAGGTGTACAAAGAGCATTTCCAAGATGATGTCTTTAATGAAAAGGGATGGAACTACATTCTTGAGGTAAATAATGGTTTCATGTTTTGATCCATTATTTCGGGTTTGCTTTTAGTTCAAAATTTCTTGCAGAAGAATTTGAATAGAAGGCGAGATGTATAATTACAGCTCTTTTCTGTCTGTGACCCAAATATAACTGTTTTTGACATTCTAGTGTAAAGATAAGGATAACATTTACATTTGGGGGGGGCGTGGCAGATCATTAGTATCTAGAATCTAAAGCAGTTCTAAGTAATTTGTTATAATAAATTGTAATTTAAGAAAGGTGATTTAGTCCTTTCTTTGAAAATACACTAATTAAAAAGGGGCATGTTTATTTGGCAATTTCAAAATTTAGGTCTATTTTTTTTACTATAGATTATCTAAGAAAATAGATATTGTGAGTCTATCACTACACACACGCACACACAATAGTTGTAGGAAATTTCCCTTATTCAGTAGTTAAAATGGTTTGGTGCAGATCCATGAAGTTGATTTTTATTCTTTGTTGCACCGTAATATTCATATCTAGCATGTTTGGATCTACTGCTTACATTTTTGGGCATCCAAAGACGTAGTAATTAAGTTATAAGGGTTGAATGTCCTCTAGTGGTTTTCTTTATTACAAAGATAGATTGGGAATGGGATCTATTGGCATCTTGCAGTGTTAAGTGTTAGTTAATTAATTTACATCTAAGAATGAGTATCTTTTCCATTGTAGACTATTAAACATAAAATAATTAGAAATACCTTAACTTTCATGCCTATATTGTAACATTGAGTTTTACTATTTGGTGCTTATGGGTCTTTGAAGAAGTCAGGTAAGCACTCTCATGCTGTAGTTTTTCCATAGTAAGGTTAGTAAAATATGTTGAGTATAACTCCTGCACTTATCTCATTTGGTTGCTATGAGAATAATAGTAATAGATAAGTTAGGTGCTATGCTTATTAATATAATTTTCAGTGGCCAGGGTGATAAATCTTTTGATTTTATGTTCAGAGAATCTTAGGGATTCACAGGTTCTCTAGAGATAACTCTTGTCTAACCCCATTTTACAAGCATAGGGTCTGAGACCTTGAGATGTTAAATGACTCGTCCAAGGTCTCCTACCTACTTTTAAGTCCCTAAGGCAGTATTTTTTCTGTTATATCATGAGGCCTTCAGTTCTTCTCATTAAACACATTGTTCTTTTACCTAGTTACTTTGTCCCAAATTATATAAATAAACCGAGGATTTCCGAAACAACTTGCCTTCCTAGCCAAAAGTTAGCCACACCTTTTAGCTTTAAAAGAGGAAAGGTGTAATTAAACATCTAGTAGCTTACAATGTAGCAAATATATTCTCAGCCTAAGAGAATTGTTGTGCTTGGATATTGAATGGCAAAGCTCTAGAAAGTATACTTTAATGATTCAATCTGTCTACTACCAAAATGGTTTCAGGTCTACTACCAGAATAAAGAGAAAACTATTTAAGTTTCTTCTAATAGCAGGGATCTATCATTCTTTTCTCTTTTGTTTGTTGTGCGTTTTGTTCTTTAATAGTAGTCTCTTGTTTTATCTTTCACTCTTTAGCCTTTTATGAAAATGACCTACTTAAAAGAAAGATTGTGTTTTTGGAATATGTTGGAATAAACTCTTATTTTTTGAAAGAGTGGGGGGGAACAACCTTTTTTGATGCACTTGAAATTATCTCTATCTTATAGTGATAAATGTTCATAGTAGAAGCACTCTGACAACATAAAATTTAAAAATTAATAACAGTGCCTAAGCCGTTAGCTAATTTTATTTCAGGAGCTTAAGGATATTCTGACTAGATGATTAACATCTGCAATTGCAGTTTCTAACACAATAAGATTGGCTTCTATAAACTATAAAGAACCTTATTAAAACAGGTAACTGCATATCATCTTTTAAATAAATAAATTCATTATTGTCTCTTACCAGAAATATGATGGGCATCTTCCAATAGAGGTAAAAGCTGTTCCTGAGGGCTCTGTCATTCCCAGAGGAAATGTTCTCTTCACAGTGGAAAACACAGATCCAGAGTGTTACTGGCTTACAAATTGGATTGAGGTAAATTGTTTTGTTTTTAATTCTGATTTAACATTAATTGAAGATATAAAAAACATTCAACTGGGATTCTAGTTTAAAAATTGCTAATTTAATTACTAATAAAGCTACGTAATCTCCTACAATTTAATAAACCTTTCCAGTCCTCAATTTCCTCATCTATAAAATAACAGTTGTACTAAATAATCTTAAAGGTTTCTTTCAGTGAAATCTCATGTTCTGAGATTTTATTTAAATCAAATTATTAGTTATTACTGTTAAAGGTCAGTTGGCGTCTTTTTTATTTGTTGCAATCCTTACTATATATTATTGTAGAGAAAAAATTAGAAAAACACCACAGGTACATTTTTAGTAACTTAAAACATTTCATTTTATGGCCATTCTATTCCAGTTAGACTAAAGGAATTTTGTTCAAATTTTTAATAGCTGATTTCTTCATTCTTATCAACTAAGGACCTACGCTGTACCACCTGATGTTTCTCATCTAAATACATTCAAGATTTGCTTATTATTTTAATTCCTAAGCACAAAAGGAAGCTACATTATAGAATCTGAGTTTATGTTAAAGCCTTTTTGTTTTTCCTTGCATCTATACTTAAGCAGTTATGTTTTCATATGCTCATAGTTTTGATATTAATAATCTACTTAGCCCTTCAACAGCTTAATTTAGCTTTTATCTATAAGAGGAAATATTTTAGAAAGTGACCACAGAAATACCAACTTTCAGTTTGAGAGATGTTTAGAATTGACTCTTTATCTTATTAGTTTATTCATTAAACTTTTTTGTTATATTGTAAAATAATACATTTGAGGTTCATTTGTAAAGACTGAACAAAATTTAGAAAAAGTAAGAGGTCCAAGAATATGTTTGAAATTCATTTTTGCTAAGTTGACAAGAAATTTAAAACTTTCTTATTAGACTCTTAATGGGCCACCAACTAATAATAAGCTAATAGTCTCCGAAAAAAAATGTACAATTAACTAAAAAAGTTGATTGCTATGTTTTAAAACTTTGAATTAACTGTGAACTCAAAGTAAGAGAAAATATATCTTATTAGTTTTTCACAATTGTTATAGTGTTTGTACTGGCAAATATTTGATTTCGAGGAGATGGTATTATGAAAACACAACAGTAAATGAGTTCTTAACCACATCATCTAGTCTATCTTTTTACTTTCAATGACAGAAGACCCTAAATACATAAATCTTATTGTGAAAATTATCATCTATGGATAATCTTTTTTTGCTTTTTTCTTTTTAGTTAAGAATTTAATCAATAAGTGCTCTTCCCTCATGTCTAATTGAACTTCCATTAAGCAAATATTTATGGACATAGAGAACTCATTCCCAGTCTATCTTGCTTTATGTACGTAATAAATAGTTTTTGTCTTCTTCAGAAAGTAAAAAAACACAAGCCTTTAAAAATATCCGTTTTAAAAATTATTATTTTGGTTTATTTCACTAAAAAACCATAAAGTACAAAATTTTATATAGAGATATTAGAGCAGTGGTATGTTAGCAAATATACAAATATCATTTTTAATTTAAAAATTATTAAACATGAAATCCAGTATGAGACTGTTAGATTTTGAAGAAAAGAAAAAGTACATAGTTCCTTGTTTTTATTTGCTTATAACCTGAAACAACTTATATCAGGTTTACCTTCTATTCTAAGATATATTATTTTAAATAATTTCAGGCATTTTTACCTTGGCACAAAAATTAATGGTCTGACACAATTCCTTATCATAGTTTCTAATAGATCCATGTTTTATAAGACACTGTATTTGCTCTCAATGCTGGGTTTCCAGAAGAGACATCTTCATAGTAACTTTGTATCTTTTGTGGGATTTTATGTGGGGTTATAGGAGATTTGTCCTACTCTTACTCATCCCCAATCCAAGCTTACCACCTTGTATATGAAATCTGTTACCAAATCCAATAAACTTGTTATTTACAAACTTGAAGATGTTTTTCAGGCCATCCTTGATTTAAAACATTTTAAATAATAGTACTAAATAGTGCTCCTTCCAATTCTATCTCCCAGTGTATGTTCAAAGTTACTAATAACATTTTTTATTGTTATTCACCATATACTGAATTTTAAAACCCACTAAAATTATTGAATAGCTTTATCAATTTCAATAGTAGTGCTAGAATAAATTTTAGTCCTCAAATCAGATTTTAAGACATATTTAAGAGAGCCTAAAGGTTCTACAGAGGTGTCTCAGACTTATGCAGGACTAAGGAATGAGCATATTGGGCTAAAGTTAGCCATCTCTTCCAACAAAAACAACAACAACAACAAAACTTTATGCTGTTAGAAAAGATGACTTTAAACACTATTACATTAATCAAATGTCCTCATTTCACAGATGAGGAAATTGAGCCCTAAGAGGTGAACGGACTAGTTAACAGGGTAGGCCAGTCCCCTTACTACTGTACCACACCATAAAATTCTTTATCCTGCACAGTAACGTTATTATAAATACATCTTAAATGAAATTTGCAGATTCATTTACTCTAGTTTTAGTTTTCAGCTAAAAATTTAATCTTGATTTATATGAGCAAATTGCTGTTTTGGAAGTTTCCAACAAGGCCTACTTTATTAGACCTTGGATTAACCCAAACTAACTTGCCTTTTTTTTCCCTTGCTTACACCTACAGTGATCTTTTTTAAAGGGGACTGATTTTATTAAGAGTATAATTTAAGCTGATTTTGTTGGACTATGGAAAGGAAATGGTGATGTGAAGGATCACTGTGTCTGATAGTTATTTCTCTCCTTCCCTGGCATTTTTCGAGGGGTAAGGTCAATCTTCTACCTTTATAACTCAACTAGAGTTGTTCACATTATGTTTTATCTACCTCATACTCCTAGATAATATCAATCTAAGTTAAATTAAAATGTTAGCGTTGATTGAAATTAATTCAGCAAATGAACATTGATTGAGTACCAGCTATATACAAAAAATGCTGGGCACAGAAATTAGAATAAGATATGTTTTATTTAAGGACCTTTGGAGAAGGAGCAATTCATTCTTAACTAACTACTAACATAAGTAAGAATGCTGAATTAGCAGAAAAATAGGTGACTCTGTCTAAGGAAACATAAAATGGAAAAAACAAATAAACTTTAATAAGGAAAGGAAGAGCTGAGGAAATGGCACAGTATTCTTAGAATAGCAAATGCCCAAAGGGGACTGCAGCATAAAAGTGGAAAATATAGTAGGAGATAAACCTTTAGAGGATAAACAAAGCAAATTTCTATATGAATTGGCTTTTTTCTCTATGGACAGTAGATAGTCATTAAAGGATTTTAAAGAATGACACAACCTGAACAAAATTCTCACTTGAAATGATAACTAGTGATGATATGAAGAGTAAGTCAGAGAAGCTAAAGATTTAGAGGTAGGATAATCATGGGCATTGAGCAATGGAGGCATTGAGCAATAGAGTAAGTTCAGAAGCAGAATGTTGAGAGATTAGAGGTGATTGGTTATAGAGTTTAAGTTAGGAGTTGCATCAGATTTCTATTGTTATATAACAAACTACCCTAAAATAAAACAACTAGTATTTCTCATGATTCTGTGTTTGACTGGCTGATTCTCTTCTGGTCTTGCTTAGACCTTGGCATCTGCATTCAGCTGAGGGTTCAGCTAGGACAGGACATACTAAAATGGCCTTACTCCTGTGTCTGGGGCCTCACTTTATAACTTAGGATCCTTCACAACATGGTAGTCTCAAGGTTTTAGGAGAACACGAATAGAAACTGCAAAATCTCTTGAAACAGAAGTCCGAAAGTCATACAATACGGTCTCTGCCACCTTCTATTGGTTAAAAGCAAATCATAAGGACAGCCCAGAATCAAGGAATGAAGAAACACTCTCTTGATGAGAGGAGCTGCAAAGATTTGGGGCCATATTTAATCAGTCATAGGAATCTAGTGCTACAGTTTTCATTTTCTTTGGTGACCGAGTTGGGAAGTCCAAAGTTAAATAGTCTCTCTGTTTTTACTTATTTTATTTATTGAACACTAGTATTCAGTATAAGCTCATTTTATAAATTTAAAATATTAAATACCTTTTCGATTGAGCTCAGACACTATTGTCATCTTAGTAGCTCCCTCTAAAACAAATTTGAGGTTGCTTCTAATAACAGCCTATCTGGTTTATAAAATAAAAATAGAAAATTATGATCTTTGAAGAAGGAATGCATTCCCAAGCCATAATAATTAACATGGTTGCCATTATTAAACATCAGACCTAACTTTGGAGTTTCCTGGCAGCCAAGGGGGAAAAAAGGAAACAGAAGGACAGTTTGATCAGAAAGTGGGAACCTAGCAGTTCTTCCATTTCCTCATTTGGGAACTTATAGGTACTAAGTTATAAAATAGACAGTGGCCTCGCAATTTTACAACATACGCAGAAATGTTTTGTGTGGCCTTCTTATAATGATGTTTGATAAAAGTCAAGGACTTAAAGCATAACTCAGTGAATAAAATTCTCTAGTGCTAAGCAAAAGTATCTCAAGTATATAACCTACCAATAGTCATATTAGCTCCAAAGAAAAATTAGATCAAAGACTATCTAGAAGAGTAAATGAATAACTTTAGACCTATACTATTCAAGGTGTAGTCCATGGACCACTGCTGGTCCATGAACTGTTTGATGTAGATTCACATTAAATACAGAAATCAAGGATAAGCATTTAGAAGACTTTATGGTAATTGCCTCACCATCCAAGTGTGAGTGTATTTTATAAAACTGTTGGTCCATGACAGATTGAAAATCTTTTTAAAAGTTGGTCCTTCTTCATAGATTGTCTTTCTAAATGTTATTTGCTTCTTTGGAGCTTTGGATAGAAATTAAGTTATTTGATATTTTTTACTGGTAAGGACCTGGTATGTTTTTCCTTCATGTTGCTGGTTTGAGAGCCGAGCTATGCACTGTATCTGGAATGCATGTGTAGGCATCCTGTTACACAGTTGAAATATCTAAATGGTATTTTCAATAGTATGGAAGTCCAGGACATATCTCCAGAGAAAGCTAGGTTTTCCTCAGAAAGAACCCAATATTTTTTGTATTAATATATGTGATTAATTTTATTATTACAGACTATTCTTGTTCAGTCCTGGTATCCAATCACCGTGGCCACAAACTCTAGAGAACAGAAGAAAATATTGGCCAAATATTTGTTAGAAACATCTGGTAACTTAGATGGTCTGGAATACAAGTTGCATGATTTTGGCTACAGAGGAGTCTCTTCCCAAGAGGTAAAAAACTGTGAAATGAAACTCATAAATAAAATGTGGAACCTTATAAATAAAATGTGGATGGTCCTCAATATATTACCATTATAAATGTTTTGGGAAATAATGGGATTACAATTATAAACTTTCTGGGAAATTATTGGTCTTCTATGTAGGCTACATTTTGAAATTCCAGAGATTCAGTCAATGTATTAAGTATCTACTATGTGTCAGCCTTTCTTCAAAGTACATGGAATATAGCTTTCAACAAATGTTCTTATCCTTTATATATTGGATGAATGGACTAAAAGACAGATGGACAGACAGACATAATATAGCAAATGTCATATAATGCTACAGAGAAGCACAAGGCAGAGTAAGAGAAAAGAGGGTGATGAGAAGTGAGGGTGCGTCAATATTAAATAGTTCTCTTTGAGGAGATAAGAATTAAAGTCGTAAAATATTTAGGAAAAACTAGATCTTTATCATAGAAATTATTATCTCTGAAATTAGTTAACTGTCTAAGAATAACAAAACAATAATTCCTTTGGGAGCTATGCTCTGTACTTCAAATAATGGCTTTTTTCTTTTTTTAATTTTGATTCATGGTTTATTTTTCAGACTGCTGGTGTAGGAGCATCTGCTCATTTGGTTAACTTCAAAGGAACAGATACAGTAGCAGGAATTGCTTTAATTAAAAAATACTATGGAACAAAAGATCCTGTTCCAGGCTATTCTGTTCCAGCAGCAGAACACAGGTAAAATTCTGTTTTCATCCTCCTATTATCTAAACATTTGTTTTCTAAAACTACTAAGTTTTTTCACTCTTGTATTTGTAATTCGGTGATATTTTGCTTAACTACAAAGCCACATATTCCAGTAAATCCTCATGAATCTAAGTAATACAAATTCAGTATTACACTTTGTGCAAAAATTAGTATCAGAGAGGTAGAAAACTTTTAACTATCCTGATAGAAACGATTTAACAGCTTTTTTTCAACTCTTATATTGCCATATAGATTTTATGTTAAGGACTTTTTTATTGCCATATGCAGATAGATTTTATTTGTTAAATTAAGTCTAGGAGCACTCATTGTAAAATCTGGTTAACTTTTTTCCCTTTCCCTGCTCTTCTATATGACCTCACCTATCTTTGCCCTAGAAATTGTCATCTGGACCCAGTACCCTCAATTGTAGATGACCAAGTAAGCCCTTTTGATAAAAGGAAGACAGTTCAGGTTTTTCTTAGGCTTTCGTATCTGATCTTACTAAACCATCTCCTTAACTTAAACCAAGTTAAGCTAGAAGGCAGTTATAATCTAGGCAGCAGCTGCTCAAGTCCTAGAGTTAACTTTGTTGAAAGTTAGCGGAGTTTGAAAAATGTATGCCAAAGTTTATTTCTGGTTCTTAAAACAAAATTTATTTACTATTTGAGGAGGTTTATCAGGTTCTACGCATACTTGAATATTGCAGCGTGCCAAAACCAGCAGTGATTATAGAATAAAGCTGAGCTTTTATTCAAGGCAATCTGAGTGCTACAAGAGATAGAAAGATAAAAAACTGACCCTATCTTCAGAATAAAAATAGTGCACTAGCAACATTCTGCTCTGTCGATTAACTACTTTTAAAGAGGTACAATTAAAGTGTTTTAGTGGTGCAAGGAAAGGAAAGGAAGGATCATTGGTTTGTATTATTCCACTGGCAAGATCAAGAAAGGTTTTATAGAGATGGTATGTGAAATCTTGACTTCTTGAAGGAATGGTAAAATTTAATGGTAGTGATGGGGGAAATCACTCATTCTCTATTTATTGCATGCCTAACATGTATCAGGTATTTGTCCTGAAAGAGCAAGAATGAAAGAGT